GTGAGACTCCTATCTCCAATAAACTTCTAGAAAACCGGAAGTGGCACTGTAGCTCAAGTGGTAGAGCGCTCGCCTTGAGCTGAAGAGCTGAGGGACAGCGCCCAGGCCCAGAGTTCAAGACCCACAACCGACAAAAAAAAAGAATATCATAATAAAGCAAGTCTATTTGGGAGAATAGAGTATTCCCTTCTCCCACAACATCATTTTGAAATAATTTACAGCTGTTAATTGTATGAATATGGTTGGATTAAAGGAAATTCAACCAGAACTCATAATTCCATACTAGATGATTTTATTTCCCATGTTAAAATTAATTGGTATGACCTATTTTCACTATATGGCAAGTTTCTCAAAGCATATAACTTCCTTGGTATTCTTTTTTGTTTTTGCAGCAGAAGCATATTATGAAAGATAACCTGAAAAAGATCCAGCAGGAAATGGCCCATCTAGAAGCTGTGCTACAGCAGCACAAGAGCCAGCAACTTCCCGCCAGCTCCACTTCCCTCCTAGCTAACTATTGTGGACCAGAACAAAACGTATCAGGAAAAGGTTTGTAATATTGGCCAGATGCCAACATCTTAAAAATAATTCTTTCATTGGGCACCAGAGGCTCACACCTATAATCCTAGCTACTCAGGAGACTGAGAGCTGAGGATCGCAGTTCAAAGCCAGCCCAGGCAGGGAAATCTGGGATACTCTTATCTCCAGTAAAGTACTCAGAAAAAGCCAGAAGTGTCCACATGGCTCAAGAGGTAGATAGAGTCTTGAGCACAGGGAAGCTCAGGGACAGAACCCAGGACCTGAGTTCAAAACCCAAGACCACAAAACAAAACACAATTCTTCCTCTCCTTAATTGTTTACTTCTTCTGAAGAACAAGGACCTAGTTCCGACTTGAAGTACCGAGATTTGAACTCTAGCCCTCTCTTGCTAGGTGGTAACTATTTCTCTAACCTTGTTGTACACTAGTTTTGGGATAGGGTCCTGCTTGCTGCCAGGGCATGCTCCTGACCCAAGATCTGTATACTTTTAGATTTCCCAGGCATTTCTAGGAAGTCTACCTTCTCTCTGTGGAGACAGCCTCAAGGACCATCCTGCCTGTCTAGCCTAACATTAAAATTCTCCCATTGTCAGCTTCTCACCCATCTTTGAGTGGCAGGAGCAGGTCATTGCACCTAGCCATAGGTTGAAAAGGAGTCTCATAGTACCTTTCTGCAGGCTAGCATCTGAACTCTGAACTTCCCATTTTTAGCCTCCCAAGTAGATAGGATTACAAGCATAAGCAACTGGCCTCCAGATTAGATCCAACATTTTCTGGTCTCTGCTCAGTACATATTTACTGAGTCACCCCATGGATAATTTGAGAGACTTAGTCTTAGTGCCTGGTTATAACTCATGTACCATTCACAGGACCTCAAGACCTTCCTGTCACTGCCAAAGCACCTATAATGCAGAGATGCTGTGTGGAGCTCATAGGAGAGACAGACAACATCCACTGGGTATAATAGGGGATATTAATAGTAGACATAGAATCTAGTAGATTCACAAAGCCATTAGAAAATTAAACAGTAGGACATACATATTCCTTATAGCACTAGTGGTCTACCACAAAGATGAAATTGACCTACTTTTGGATTTATAGAAAGATATCTTCTACTTCAACAACTGCACTTTGAGTTTTCAGTTAGCGAACTAGCATACCAGGTAGGGGACCTCCCAGGGGGAGCTGGGTGCTTAGAAACAGGCAAAGTGCTCCTCACAACCCTTTCAGTGAGCCCTAACTGACTATCTTAGGGTTAAAGTTCCTTCTTCAGCACTGCCTTCCACTGTCCACTAGGAGCTCCAAGTCCTACCTTTGACTCTTTGTAGGAACTTTGGTCTGTTTATTATCTAGAACTGTGGTCTTGGTCCCCACAGGTGCCTTGAGTGTAGAAAAACAGTAACTCATGCATGAAAAGCTAAGGACTCTGTTGCTATGGCAGTATGTCAAAATGTATTTGTTTAAATGCTTTCTTTGTAACTGCATCTTCATTTAGTTCATCTGGAGGCTAATGAAGATGCCTGTCCACAGTACAGCTCTCTTTGGGGTGCTTTTACAGTCTTAATTCCTAAAACAGACTGGACTTTCAGTGCTAACACACAAGATATGAAATGTACTGTCTGGCTCTGAATAGCTGTCTAAATCTATCTCATCTTTGGCGTACATTGTGTGTTGATTTTTTTTCCCTAAAGATTTATAGATTAAAATGTTTCTTTGTAAAACAAACAAATGTTGCTTTGTAGCTTCATTTCTGAAATATTTTGAACATCAATTTAATACCAACTCATATTTTGAGCTTTTTTTTTTTCCTTACCTTAATGTGAGTGTTAATTGACATGCCAGTGAATTTCTTAATTCTAAGAAAAAGGTATTATTTACCTCCTGCTATCCCCATGACTGACTTTCTTTCCTGGTACTAAGGCTTGAACTGAGCCTCACACTTATTTTTTGCTTTTTGCTCAAGGCTAGCTAGCACTCTACCACTTTGAGCCATAGCTCCACTTCTGTTTTTTTAGTGGTTGATTGGAGAGAAGAATCTTAGGAACTTTCTTGCCCAGGCTGCTTTGAATCACAATTCTCAGAGCTCAACCTCTTGAGTAGCTAGGATTACAGGCATGAGCCACCAGTACTTTGGCTTTTTTTGGGGTTTTTTTTGGCTTTTTTGATCATTGTGTGCTCTACCATTTGAGCCATGGGAATAAGAGTCTCACAGACTTTTCTGCCTGCACTGGCTTCAAATCTTAATCCTCAGACTCAGCCTCCTGATTAAAGGTATGAGCCACAGCACCTGGTTTACAGATGACATATTTTTTTAGTAGACTTCTCATTTTGGAATAATTTTAGGTTTACAGAAAAAGTGCAGTGATAGTACAGGATGTTCCCCCACACTGCCATGCCCGGTTTGTTTCTCCCTGATATCTTAGATTATCATGATACTTTTATCAAGGTAAGAAATCAACATTAGGCTGGGTGTCTCATGTGGCTCATGCCTATAATCCTAGCTGTTCAGGAGGCTGAGATCTGAGGTAGGCCTCAGACCGTTATCCTCATAGCTAGAACTATAGATATGTACCATTGTGTCTGAGTTATTGATTGTTATGGAAACGATTCATTAAAATTTCCACCACATTGTCCTTAAAACATAATCTCCATTTCCTGAATAGCTGAGATTACAGGATTGAACCACTATGCCTAGCTGAATCTTGCATTTTTTTTAATTAATTTATTTTTATTTTTAATTTTATTTTTTGTCAGTTGTGGGGTTTGAGCTCTGGGCCTGGGTGCTGTCCCTGAGCTCTTCAGCTCAAGGCTAGTACTCTACCACTTGAGCCACAGAACCACTTCCAGTTTTTCTGGTGGTTTATTAGAGATAAGAGTCTCATGGACTTTCCTGCCCAGGCTGGCTTTGAACCTCAGTCCTCAGATCTCAGCCTCTAAGTAGCTAGGATTACAGGCATGAACCACCACCAGCACCTGGCTTAATTTATTTTTTAAATTTTTATTTATTTGTTTGTTTGTTTTGGAGGTACTGGAGTTTGAACTTAGGGCTTTATAATTACACTTTGCTTTCAGCCTGGATCTAGTATTCCTAAAGGTAATAAAAATCCCCTAATTAAAGTCTTTATATTAGTGTCCTGCTCTTCAGCATAGATCTTCCTACTGTTTGTCTAAGGATCATTCCTAAGCCTGCAAAATATTTGGGTACAAATGTGTATATTTACTCATTGCAGATTATGTATGTTTTTATAGATTAAGCTATTTCATATCAGGTACTACTATGTTTGTCATTCAAAAAGCAAATACTAGCTTTTGTGAGATCATGGCCCATTACAGTGCAAGTGATTTTTCTGACATGTTTGAGCTTTTCTATCCTGCAGATATGTTTGTTCTTGTAAGCACTTGCTAAAAATCTCCAGTCCATTTCATTATGGGTTCTATATTTTGTAATTTGTCACTTCTTAGTATTTCTTCGCTTCTAACTCAATGTCTTTTCCTTGATTCTTCCCAATACCTTCCACGATGCTTAGCACAAATTAGGTAGTCAATACATTTATTGAATGCTTGATCTGATGCTTATTCCATATCCTTAAAGAATATAACTTGTTGACATATCTAGAAGACAGAATGACCTGCAGGAGACGTTAGTATTGTTTTGGAGCTAAGCTCTATATCCCTGTGTTATATTCTGCTAACCCAGCCTACAGGTAAATCATCATCTCTGAAGGCCTGGATTGGGCTTGCTGTTCAGAAAATGAACAGGAGAATGAAAAGGAGAGAAAAAGAAATTTGGATGTGTTCTGTCAAGACTTTTGTGTGTGTGTCTGAAGTTGGAATTCGGTGTCTTGGGCTAGCTAGGCAAGCAATCTACTTCTGACTCAAACCTCTAGTCTAAGCAAAGTCTTGCCACATATCCTAGGCTGGCCATGAACCTTCATTCCTCCTGCCTCAGTTCCTTATCCCAGTGCTAGGACTATAAACATATACCAGTATACCCCAGTTGAGCAGAAAAGCCTTGATATTTTGTTTTTTATTTTTATTTTTTGTTGGTTATAGGGACTGAACTCAGCCTGGGCTCTGTCCCTAAACTCTTGCTCAAGGCTAGTGATCTACCACTTGAACCAATTCTGTGTTTCTGGTGATTAATTGGAGATGATAGTCTCACAAACTCTCCTGCTCAGGCTACGTTTGAACTGAGATCCTCTCAGATCTCAGCCTCCTGAGTAGCTAGTATAGGCATGAGCCAGTAGCATCCAGTAACTCAACTCAGGTTAGCTCATTATTCATGCTTGGAGCCTATAGTAATAAGGAATTTATTTGACAAATGTTCTTGTGATAGAATAACGTGTGTGTGTGTGTGTGTGTGTGGTGTGTGTGTGTGTGTGTGTGTGTGTGTGTGTGTGTGTGTGTGTTGCTGAGGCTTGAACCTGGATCCTCAAACAGGCTACAACTAGCTCAGCTGTATCATAAGCTAAACACCCTCCCCTACTATTTTGTGTGTGTGTGTGTGCACACGTGCACACACACACACACAAAATAGTAGGGGAGGGTGTTCTGGGGCTTGATCTCCGGGTTTGGGCACTGTTCCTAAGATTTTGTGCTCAAGACTAGTGCTCTACCAGTGAGTCAAGGCTCTGCTTCCCACTTTTTGGAAGTTTATTGGAGATAAGCACTCAGGGGCTTTCCTGTTGGGCTGGCTTCAAGCTCAATCCTTGGTTCTCAGCCCCCTGAGTAGCTAGGGTTACAGGCATAAGCCATTGGTGCCACTATTTTTTTTTTTTTTTGGCAGTCCTGGGGCTTGAGCTCAGAGCCTGGGCTCAGCGCCCAGGCCCAGAGTTCAGGCCCACTACTGGACCCCCCCAAAAAAAAAAAAGAAAGATAAGTAACTCAGGAAATCAATAGTTATTTTCCCCCAGGTCCTCCCTGTTTTAAAAAAATATATCTTTAATTAATAGAACGTTTTGTTTAAATTTTCTGCCTTGATTTATGGATTTTTTTTTAATATTTTTTTGGTCCGGTCATGGGGCCTGAACTCTGGGCCTGGGCGCTGTCCCTTAGCTCTTCAGCTCAAGGGTAGCGCTCTACCACTTGAGCTACAGCGCCACTTCCGGCATTTTTTCTTTTGGCTTATGTGGTGCTGGGGAATCGAACCCAGGGCCTCAGGCATGCAAGGCAAGTGCTCTACCACTGAGCCACCTTCCCAGCCCCGATTTATGGATTTTTTATTTATTTATTTTGCCAGTCATGGTGCCTGAACTCTGGGCCTGGGCACTGTGCCTCAGCTCTTCAGCTCAAGGCTAGTGCTCTACCACTTGAGCCACAGCACCATTTCCAGCTTTTTCTGCTTATGTGGTGCTGAGGAATCGAACCCAGGGCCTCATGCATGCAAGGCAAGCACTCTACCACTGAGCCACCTTCCCAGCCCTGAACATTAATTCTTTGTATGTAACATTAGTTCCTTGTGTTTGTTTTTGTGTGTATGTGTAGATATGTGTAGATATATGAGGGTTTGTTTATTTGGGGGTGCTATTAATTGAGACAAGTAAAATGGCACCTGTGTTTGTATTTTCTTTCTCAAGACTCTCCTGCTTTTCCACATATGTAAAAATTTATTTTTTTATTTTATTTATTTTTTTTGGAGGGGGTCCGGTCTTGGGGCCTGAACTCTGGGCCTGGGCGCTATCCCTCAGCTCTTCAGCTCAAGGCTAGTGCTCTACCACTTGAGCCACAGCACCACTTCCGGGTTTTTTCTTTTTGCTTATGTGGTGCAGGGCACTGGTGGCTCATGCCTGTAATCTTAGCTACTCAGGAGGCTAAGATCTGAGGATCATGGTACAAAGCTAGCATGGGCAGGAAACTCTGTGAGATTCTTGTTTCCATTTAACCACCAGAAAATCAGAAGTAGCACTGTGGCTGAAAGTGGTAGAGTGCTAGCCTTGATCAAAAAGAACGCAGGGACAGCACCCAGACTTCAGAGTTCAAGCCGTGACTGACAACAACAAGAAAGAAAGAAAGAAAACCAAAGAAAGTGCTAGAAGTAAAAGTGTGGCTCAAGTGGTAGAATACTAATCTTGAGTGAAAAAGGCAAGCAAGAATGTGAGGCCCTGAGTTTATGCTCTAGTACCAGCCCCTGCACACAAAAAATGAACCAGTCTGCCGGGTGCCGGTGGCTCACGCCTATAATCCTAGCTATTCAGGAGGCTGAGATCTTAGGATCATGGTTCAAAGCCAGCCCGGGCAGGAAAGACTGTGAGACTCCTAGCTCCAATAAACCACTAGAAAACTAGAAGTGGCACTATAGCTCAAGTGGTAGAGCACTTGCCTTGAGCTGAAGAGCTGAGGGACAGCACCCACGCCCAGAGTTCAAGCCCCACAACTGACAAAAAAAAAAAAAAGAAACCAATCTGATTGTCACAGATTGCTGCTTCTAAAATCAATAACTTGAGTGCCCTGTTGGATTCATGTAAATCCCTGTACTCCAAGGCTGAAGCAAGAGGATCAAAAGTTTAAGGCCAATGTATGCTAGACGGCATGTTCCAGAACAGGCTGAGCATGTGAGACCTTGTCTCAATAAACAGCAAAGACAAAAATCAGTATCCTCACCTGAATTATCACCCTTAGGACAAAGAAGTAAAGTTGATTTCTTTGTTTTCTCATTCCCTTTAAAGCAGTTTTAACTCCAGAGAAAAATAATGGACATCCTCTAAGCCAAACTCGAAAAGCCTTTTCTGCTGATGAGTTCCAAGTATCTCCAGATAGTTCCACCAGTAAAAATAAAGAACTAGGAGTGGAAAGGTAAGAATATCAAGTTGATGGTAATATCTCCTAACATTAAACTCCAGCTAATTTCCCTCCCCATTTTATACAGAGACATCTAATTCCTAGAACACTTCCTTTATTTAATTGGGTATAGGCTTTCTGGACCTGTACGTGGAATAAGCTACTACATGAGAAATGTGCAATTAGACCTGTCTTTTCTGAAGGTCACAAGAAAATACAAGAGAACTACAACTGAAGCAAGCCTGGAGGCTAATGGACTTTCCCCAGTCAACCCTTGCCCTAATGGGAATGTTTGCCTCTAGAAAAGGATTATCTGATTTATTCCAGAAAAAATATTCAGAACATCCTCCAAGAACTTTGTAACAATATATTTTATTTTCTTACTTTTATTTTTGTTCTGCACTCAGGGTCTGGCCACTATTTTTTGAGGGTTTTTTTTGCCGTTTGTGGGTTTGAACTCTGGGCCAGGGCGTTGTCCTTCAGCTCTTCAGCTCAGGGCTAGCACTCTACCACTTGAACCACAGCACCACTTCCGGTTTTCTGGTAGTTTATTGGAGATGAGAGTCTCAAGGTCTTTCCTGCCCGGGCTGGCTTTGACTAGCCATCCTCAGATCTCAGCCTCCTGAATAGGTAGGATTGCAGGTGTGAGCCACTGGTACCCAGCTTTTTTTTTTTTTAATTGCCAGTCCTGGGACTTGGATTTAGGGCCTGGACACTGTCCCTGAGCTTCTTTTGCTCAAGGCTAGTGCTATACCACTTGAACCACAATGCCACTTCTGACCTTTTCTGTTTATGAGGTACTGAGGAATTGAACAGTTCTGGCCTTTTCTGTTTATATAGTACTGAGGAATCAAAAACCAAAAAAAAAAAAATCTACCACTAAGCCACATCCCCAGCCCTTTCTGAGCTTTTTTGCTCAAAGCTAATGTACCATTTAAGCCATTGCTCCAGTTCCAGCTTTTTGGTGGTGATGTAGACATAAGAGTCTCATGTACTTTCCTGCCCGAGATGGCTTTGAGTCATAATCCTTAGTTCTTAGCCTCTTGAGTAACTAGAATTACAGGTGTAAGCCACCAGTACCTGGCAAGGATTTGTTTATATACTTGTTTATTTATGCTGGTACTAGGGCTTGAACTCAGGGCTTAAGTGCTGTCGCCAGCTGGCTTTGAACTGTGATCTTCAGAGCTCAGCCTCCTTAGTAGCTTGAATACAAGCATGAGCCACTGGAATTAAGGATTTATTTTTGAGGCTAGAGTTCTATGTGGCATTGTGTTGTGGTAAAGAGGGAAAAGAGCTGACTTCCATTGGCACTAAAGCCATGTTTAGAGGTAATGATGTCATTGGTATGGTTTAATCAATAAGCTAAATGAGCCTTTCAAATTATTTTTCTTTATCCTAAAACCTTCACACTAAACCTGTTCCCTCTACTAGACTACTTGGAGTAACAGTTAGGACTTACTCTACTTCAATCCATAGAGCCTTCCTTTAATATCTAACATATAATAAACACCCAATAATTGTGCCAGGCATGGTGGTACCTGTGTATAATCCCATCACCTTGTTTGAAAAAGTAATGATTTTTGAGTTAATGATGCATCTCTGAGACCCTTTAAGCCTATTGATAGTTACTTATTTTGCACATTTGGAGGAGGGGAGGACCTATGCTTGAACCTAAGGGCCTAATACTGTCCTTGAGCTTTTTTTGCTCAAGGCTAGTGCTCTACCACTTGAGCTCTACTTCCAGCATTTTGAGTAGTTTACTTGAGATAAGAGTCTCATAAACTTGCCGGGCGCTGGTGGCTCACGCCTGTAATCCTACCTACTCAGGAGGCTGAGATCTGAGGATCGCGGTTCAAAGCCAGCCCCGGGCAGGAGAGACCGTGAGACTCCTATCTCCAATAAACCACTAGAAAACCAGAAGTGGCGCTGTAGCTCAAGTGGTAGAGGCTCGCCTTGAGCTGAAGAGCTGAGGGACAGTGCCCAGGCCCAGAGTTCAAGCCCTATGACGGAAAAAAAAAAAAAAAAGAGTCTCATAAACTTAACTGCCTGGGCTGGCTTCAAGCTGTTATCCTAAGATCTCAGCCTCCTGAACACCTTGTGTTATAGGTGAGAGCCACCAGCGCTGGCTATTATTTTTTGTTTGTTTGTTTATTTGTTTCTTATGGGTCGTGAGGCTTGAACTCTAGGCATTGGCGCTGTCCCTCAGCTCTTCAGCTCAAAGCTAGCGTTCTACCACTTGAACCATAGCGCCACTTCTGGTTTTCTGGTGGCTTATCGGAGATAAGAATATCATGGACTTTTCTGCCCAGGCTGGCTTTGAACTACAATTCTCAAATGTCAGCCTCCTGAGTAGCTAGGATTATAGGCATGAGCCACAGGTGCCCAGCCATTCCTCTAGTATTTCAGGTGTTTAACAATATGTAAAAGCAGCTGGGGGCTGGGAAGGTGGCTCAGTGGTAGAGTGCTTGCCTTGCATGCATGAGGCCCTGGGTTCGATTCCTCAGCACCATATAAACAGAAAAAGAAAAAGCTGAAAGTGGCGCTGTGGCTCAAGTGGTAGAGCGCTAGCCTTGAGCTGAAGAGCTGAGGGACAGCACCCAGGCCCAGAGTTCAAGCCCCATGGCCAGCAAAAAAAAAAATAATTAAATAATAGAGGAACTACTTAGTGCATTTACTTTCTAACAATATTTAATAGTTTGGGTTTTTTTTCTTGTAGTGGTAGGGTTCAAACCAAGGCGTCACACATGCTTTGGGAAGTGCTCTTCCACTGAACATAGGTGGCATAGGTTCTCTACCCACCCCTGATAGTTGGCTTTCATATTCAATCGGCCCAGACAGTAAAAGGCTAATTAATGATAAGATGATTCTTCCCAAACTGGTGGAAAGAATAAGTGTTTAGATGTCAACATTAATCATCTAGCTTTATAAGAAGTCTGACACCTCCATTTAGGCTCAAGTACAAAAGTGCATAGGGTTTGGTGAGTGGCAGTGGATATTTGGGCAGAAATTGCTGACAAGGGTTTTAAGTATCTGGGAGATACACTGCCTCAGACCAGCCCCTAGGAGAGATATGTCAGCCATGATATGTTGATTGGCTGCATGAATCCAGATGCCTAGGCTGTCACTGGGCTCTTCTTTGTTCATCACTTCATATCTCTGACAGGGAGCTCTTTCACTTATGCTTTGTCTGCCGTGGGATTCTGACTAGTTCTTTTAGAACTGGTAGTAATAGTTTTCTCTTTTCATCTGTCTTTTCAGGACTTCCCCATCAAAGACCCAGTTGGTAGATAGTAGTGGGTCTGTGCACTACCTATCTACCAGGCTTCAGAATAGAAACTTCCCATCTCAAAGGGAGCTTGTGGTGATTGATCTGGAGGAGGAACAGCTGGAGAAGTCTCAGCCACCTGACTTAATGGAGCAGTCTTATTTGCCAAAGCAGGACCTAGGTAATACATTTTATCTCCTGTAATTGGAAGTAAGACACTTTTTCTTTACTCTGAGTCCTATATAAAAGATATGCTGGGGGCTGGGAAGGTGGCTCAGTGGTAGAGTGCTTGCCTTGCATGCATGAGGCCCTGGGTTCGATTCCTCAGCACCATATAAACAGAAAAAGCTGGAAGTGGTGCTGTGGTTCAAACGGTAGAGCTTCTGCCTTGAGCTGAAGAGCTGAGAGACAGCTCCTAGGCCCAGAGTTCAGGTCCACAACCGGCAATAAATAAATAAATAAAAGATATGCTGGGATTGGATAGAGTGCTTGTCTACCATGCATGAAGCCTTAGGTTCGATTCCTTGGTACCACAAAACAGAAAAAGCTGGAAGTAGCACTGTGGCTCAAGTGGTAGAGTGCTACCCTTGAGCAAAAAGAAGCTCAGGGACAGTGCCCAAACCCTGAGTTCAAGCCCCACAAGTGACTAAAACAAAAAAATAGACTCTAGTTAGTCAACTTTCCGGTATACAGGTTTATCATTTTTGCTTCTATTATATATAAGCCCATTTAAAAAATAACTTGACTTTTAATCCAAATTTACTTGAAAATTATTGCAGCTGTTAATCTACCTATTGGTTTCACTCTTAGTACGCTCTGAATATTTTACTTTGAAGTCAAGTGTTGGTGGCTCATGCCACCTGGGCTCCTTGGAGGATCTCCCTTTTTGTTTTGTTTTGTTTTTTTGGTCCTTTGTGGGGCTTGAATTCTGGTCCTGGAGACTGTCCCTCATCTCTTTGGCTCAAGGCAAATGCTCTACCACTTGAGCCACAGTGCCACTTCTGGTTTTCTGGTGGTTAATTGGAGATGAGTCTCATAGACTTAACTGCCCAAGCTGGCTTTGAACCATGATCCTCAGATCTCAGCCTCCTGATTATTACAGGAGTGAGCCACCAGCGCCTGGCTTGGAGGATCTCCCTTTGAGGCCAGCCCAGGCAGAAAAGTCCTTGAGACTCTGTCTCCAAAATATCAAGAAAAAAAACCTGGGCCAGGGGGTAGTTGAAGTGCTATCCTTGAACTGAGGAAGCATAAGACCCTGAATTCAATCCTCAGTACCTCAGAAAAATAAAATAAATATTTTACTTCAACTGTTAGATAAGCATTCTAAGGCCCTAGAATAGTTTTAGGTCTGTCCTTTATTGAATAATGAGTCAAATCCCAAAGCAGGCTCTTTTTTTCTATGAATTAATGAATATAAATGACTGTTTTATGTCTTGTAAATCACTTGTAATGATTAATATATTTTATGGCATGTAAATCAAAGTTTTAATCAGTAAAAAATTTAATTAATACTTAATATACATTATCATAAAAGGCTCTATTTGGCATCAAATGTGGTATTTGGTCATGTTCATTAGTTCATTTTAGGAATCTTTTTCCTTTTACTCAGCTCCACCCTTGATAGAATGACATTTTCTGAGCTGTTTCAAAGATGTCATAGAGGGCTGGGATGTAGCTCAGTGGCAAAGCGCTTGCCTAGCAAGCGCAACGTCCTGGGTTCGATCCCCAGTACCAAAAAAGAAAAGACAAAAAAAATACAGTTAAAAAAAAAAAACCCAAACAAAGATGTCATAGAAAAATAAAAGTATCTGTCATAGTTTTCAGCCTTTTTTCCTTTCCTTATGAAAGTTCTACATGACTATTGCCAAAAAGAATTGTATAATATAGAAAATACAAAATAAGAATCTTTAAAATTGCCTATGTTCCTGCCAGTTAACAATAAGATATTGCTATTTCTTCAGTCATTTTGCTTATTTTTAGAATACAGAATCAATCTGGGCATAGTGGTACACATCTATAGTCCCAGCTACTCGGGAAGCAGAAGCAATAGGATTGCTTCAGTCCATGAACTTTAGGCTGGTCTAAGCCTCAGTTAGTCAATCTAAATATAAAGTCATGTTAAATATTTCTTAGCTATCATCTTAAAATATTTATTTTACTGCTCACTATAAGGAGTGAAAAACTACTCAATTAAATGTATCATTTAATGTCATGTTGGATATTTAGATCATTTCTAAAATTGTGTTATTATAAATAGTAGGAAGGAAATATCCAATGACTACCTTTGCATACATCTTCTATTTCCTCAAGATGCATTTCTTTATTTCTTTTTCTTCTTTTTTGTCGGTCATGGGGCCTGAACTCTGGGCTTGGGCCCAGTCCCTCAGCTCTTCAGCTCAAGGCTAGCACTCTACCATATGAGCCACAGCGCCACTTGCAGCTTTTTCGGCTTATGTGGTGCTGAGGAATCGAACCCAGGGTCTCATACATACAAGGCAAGCACTCTACCACTGAGCCACCTTCCCAGCCCCCTCAGGATTCATTTCTAAAATTAAAACTGCTGAATAAAAGTGTCAACACATGTATTGGCCTTCAGAAAAGTTAAGCCACTGTACTTCCACAGCAGTGGACCCTCTTAACCTCATCGGGTCTATTTCATTCTTATCAGAGACTGGAACCTCCTAATTCAAATTCATTGTTATATTAATGTTAAATTAAACATTTATCCTTTTCAGAGAGAACCCCTGATCTGCAGTCTGGAAACTGCCTCTTCTACAATGAGCCTAAATCTGAACCCCCTAAAGACAGCACTCTAGAGCCAGCTCATGTCTGCGGTTTATCATCCCAATTTCAAGTTGCCCAGTCTGCCAGCAGTCCAGCCGCTGCTCATGGGGACAAAGCAAGGGAAGAGAGAGAGAAGAGAGACAAACCAGAATTGAAGACTTCAACAGCAAAGGTCAACAAAAGAATGTCTATGGTGGTATCAGGCTTGATCCAAAAAGAATTTGTAAGTATATCTAAGTATATTTCTGTAGTCGCTGTGACAGGACAACATACCACAAACTGTTTTATGCAGAGTCTAGCAACAAATAACCTGTGGGAAGAAATCAAGGAAATCAGAAGACGTCTTTGTAATTTAATTTCCATCCCTCATTTCTGAAAAATTGCATCTAGGTAAAGCAAAAATACAAATTCTTGCCTGGTGCTGGTGGCTCACGCCACCTAGCTACTCAGAAGGCTGAGATCTGAGGATCGAGGTTCAAAATCAGCCCAGGCAGGAAAGTCTGTGAGGCTCATCTCCAGTAAACGACTGGAATGCCGGAAGTGGCGCTGTGGCTCAAGTGGTAGAGTGATAGCCTTGAGCTAAAGAGCTGAGGGACAGCACCCAGGCCCAGGGTTCAAGCCCCACAACTGACAAAAAAATAAAATATGTATATATAAATATATATATATATATATATAAATTCCTAAAATATATTTAATTATGAAAACAATTAGTAAATCGTAACAAAAAAATGGTTTACCTGGGAATATGATCTAAAGCTTTTCAGTTAGCATCAGAATTTTCTTTTTTATCTAAAAAAGCAAGTTGGACTGTCTCAAGTGGTGGAGCACTAGCTTTGAGCAAAAGCAGCTCAGGGCTAGTGCTTAGGCACAGAGTTCAAGCCTCATATGGAAACCAATTTCACCAGAGTTTTAAAAAAATAAAAAGGGTATTGTTTTGTCTTTTGGTTTAAGAAAAAACAAAAACAAAACAAGTAGGTGTAGCTTTCTCTTTCCCTTCTTTTGTATCTGAGTCAGCTTACCAAACTAGTTCCAAGCACGCTGCCAGACAGTGGCATTTTTCCAGTGTTTGTTTGTCTTCATCCTTGCGGGGAAGACAGCTCTTTAATAGCCTGCCCTGTCATTGCTGCCCTATAATACCCTTTGCTATTTAGATTTTGGCATCTCCTTATGCCCCTTGTGCCAGAAATGGGAATTATTTCACATTATAGAAAAATAACTATTAAAATTTTAAGACTCATGGGGCTCAGTGGTAGAGTGCTTGCCTCACATGCATGAGGCCCTGGGTTCGATTCCTCAGCACTTCCTAAACAGAAAAGGCCAGAAGTGGCATTGTGGCTCAAGTGGTAGGGCGCTAGCCTTGAGCTGAAGAGCTCAGGGACAGCGCCCAGGCCTAGAGTTCAAGCCCCATGACCACCAAAAAAAAAAAAAAATTAAGACTCATTAAAATATTAAGACCACTAAACTCTTGTCTCTCCTTAGGCTGTTTGTGGATTTTAGACATCCTGGGAAATTTACTTTTCTTGTAATTTCTTGTTATTAGTATCTGGAAAACAATTGAGTGAGTAATATTTCTTTAAGATATAGTAGCCAGGCACCAGAGGCCTCACACCTATAATCTTGGCTAATCAGGTAGGACATGAACCATTTCTCAGCCTAATTTCATAGGTAGTGACTCAGCATAACAGTCCTTGCTGCCAGATAGGTCCTGCTTTGGACTGAGCAAAGCAAATGAATACAGGCAATAAATGAAAATTGTAAGATGATGGTTGTGAATGTTGTCATCTCACTGCCCATCCCAAGACATCATTTGCTCTGAAAATTCTTATACCTGTGTCTATTTAAATGGCTTTTGATCATTTACCTACACAACTAGAATATCCATTCATTCACTGAAAATTAGCATTCTTTTATGAGTTCAGCTTTTCAGACATGGCTAAAATGGTCTCATCTCTTGCCTTGGGTGGTTCTGAGCTACAGGTTACACTATAAATGTTGTGGGCACATGTTGTCTTTAAACAAGTAAAAGAGGGAAACTTTGAGTTCTATTCAGGCTGGCTATAGTGTGGTAAATTTATGATGAAAGCTGCTGACTTTATTATACATGATTCATTCTGAAGCCTATATTAAGATGATCTTTTCAGCAGTTGCTCTTCCGACTGAACGAACGCTGTTTCAAGGCTGAGATTTCAGCAATTAATCAGTTCAGAATTGCTAATGATCCTGGCAGAGGGCAGTGGCGAAAAGGGAAAATGTCGTTAGCTTCTTTCCATGCCCCATGGCAGTACAGAGTGAGGCAACATGAAAGGAAGATTCTTTGACCTGTACTGCAGGTCAATGGTAGTCTGGATGGCAATGGTTCATAAACGATGGCGCTTAGCAAACAAAACTGTTTACCAAGCAATCGCTACCAGTTATGTCAACTATACTCATAATAGCTCTAATTCATTTTGTTTACTGCCTGTTTGGGTACTGTCCCTGCGCTGCTTTTGCTCAAAGCTACTATTCTACTACTTGAGCTACCGCATCACTTCTAGCTTTTTTTATTTGGTGCTAAGGATTCAAACCCAGGGCTTCATGCGTGCTAGGCAAGCACTCTACCACTAAGCCACATTCCCAGCCCTGACTTTAGTTTTCTTTTGGGAAGAATAGGAGGCTCTTCTACCAGGCACTGATGGCTCATGCCTATAATCCTAACTACTTAGGAGGCTGAGATCTGAGGATTGCAGTTTGAAGCCAGCCTGAGCGGGAGAGTGCTTGAGACTCCTCTCTCTCTCTCTCTCTCTTTCTCTCTCTCTCTCTCTCTCTCTCTCTCTCTCTCCAGTTCTGGGGCTTGAACTCAGGGCCTGGGTACTCTCCCTGAGCTTTTGGTCAAGGCTAGCACTCTACCACTTGAGCTACAGCACCACTTCTGGCTTTTTCTGTTTACATGATACTGAGGAATCAAACCCAGGGTTTCATGCATGCTAGGCAAGCACTCTCCCACTAAGCCACATTCCCAGCCCTGCTTGAGACTCTTATCTCTAATTAACTACCGGAAAACTGGATGTGGTGCTATGGCTCAAAGTAGTAGAGTACTAGCCTTTGACAAAAAGAGCTCAAGGATAGTGCTCAGACCCTGAATTCAAGCCCCACAAACGACTATATATGTAATTATTATAAAATAATAGATATATGGCTCTTTCAGTTCTTCTCCTACAATTTGTATTTTTTGCCCTGCTCTTTAGAATCTTCATCACCTGTATATTTTGTAACTATCAGAGAGTTGAATTTTAAGCCACATAAATCTATAATGTTACCTTTACTTTATACAGTGTAGGCTGATAAAACTGAATGATAGGACAATAGAGTATCACTACACAAAAAACATTTATTAGGGCATCAAATAATGTCTGTTATTAAAGACAAATTAATATTATTTTGAATCTTTGGTTGTAATTCAATGACTGATAGCACTATATTAGATTATATTACAATGTCTCCTTGTGGCTTATACACAGTCTTTATTAAATAATTCATTTTGAGACTTCAAGCCTGTTATTAAAAAGATGTACACTTTCTGAGGAAAATAGACACGAAGCTGGACTAATACTGTAAGCCACATACTTAAGGCAGTTTATCAAACTGTAGTATTTTATTTGTTTTTTGTTTTGTTTTGTTTTTTGCCAGTCATGGGGCCTGAACTCTGGGCTTGGGTGCTGTCCCTCAGCTCTTCAGCTCAAGGCTAGCGCTCTACCACTTGAGCCACAGCACCACTTCTGGCTTTTTCTGTTTATGTGGTGCTGAGGAATCAACTCATGCATGCAAGGCAAGCACTCTACCACTGAGCCACCTTCCCAGCTCCTGTAATATTTTATTTGATTTCAGGTACTTGCACAGAAGTTTGCCAGAAAACACCACATCACTTTAACTAATGCAGTTACTGAAGAGACTACACATGTCGTTATGAAAACAGGTATGTCAAAAACCTTATAGAATATGTTGCATCTGCTGCATAAACCACATGAAAAAGTAAGAATCACGCTGAGCATCCCTAATCTGAAAATCCAAAATCTAGGACTTTTTCACTGTAGACATGACCTCACAAGTAGGAAGTTCCACACCTGATGTCATGTAACAGTTTATACACAAAATGCAGGTATGCTAACTATATTACATAATATACTTGCAAGCACTAGAGGTGACATTCAGTGGTAGAATGCTTAGCTAGCATGCAAAAGACCCTAGGTTTGACCCCTAGCAACATAAGAAATGAAAAATGCTTTTCAGGCATTTCATGGGGCCTGAACTCTGGGCCTGGGTGCTATACCTCAACTCTTCAGCTCAAGGCTATCCGTCTACCATTTGAGCCACAGCACCTCTTCTGACTTTTTCTGCTTATGTGGTGCTGAGGAATCAAGCCCAAGCCTCATGCATGCAAGGCAAGCACTCTACCACTGAGCCACCTTACCAGCCCCTTTTTAGGTTATATTACATAACACATATATAGAACATAAATAAATTTTATGTTAGACATGAGTCTTAGCTCCAAGAATTTGTATATATGCAAATATTCCAAAATTGAAATGTTTCTTTTTTCTTTTTTTGGCCAGTCCTAGGGCTTGAACTCAGGGCCTGGGCACTGACTGTCCCTGAGCCTCTCATGTTCAAGGCTAGTACTCTGTCACTTAAGTCACAACACCACTTCAGCTGTTTCTATTTATATGATATTGAGGAATTGAACCCAGGGTTTCATGCATGCTAGGCAAACACTCTACCACTAAGCCCATTCCCAGCCCCAAAACTGAACTATTTCTTTTGTTTGTTTGTTTGTTTTTTGTTTGGTCATGGGGCTTGAATTCTGGGCCTGAGTGCTGTCCCTTAGCTCTTCAGCTCAAGGCTAGCGCTCTACCACTTGAGCTACAGCACCACTTCCAGTTTTCTGGTGGTTTATTGGGGATAAGAGTTTCACGGACTTTCTTGCCTGGGCTGGCTTTGAACTATGATCCTCAGATCTCAGCCTCCTGAGTAGCTAGGATTACAGGCATGAGCCATCGGCACCCGGCTTAAACTGAACTATTTCCTTTTTTGGGGGGGGGTCCGGTTGTGGGGTCTGAACTCTGGGCCTGAGCACTGTCCCTCAGCTCTTCAGCTCAAGGCTAGCACTCTACTACTTGAGCCATAGCACCACTTCCAGCTTTTTTTTTCTGCTTATGTGGTGCTGAGGAATCGAACCCAGAGCCTCATGCATGCAAGGCAAGCACTCTACCACCGAGCCACCTTCCCAGTCCCTAAACTGAACTATTTCTAAGACACTTATTTCCAAGCATTTCAGATAAGGCATATTCAGTCTGTGTCATGCATAGCACAGATGATCCTCCAGTAGTCAGTCGACTATTACTTTATGGAAGTTTTCCTAGTTTTTTTTTTTTTTTTTCCTTTTCCAGGAGTCCTGGGGCTTACACTCAGGTCCTGGGCTCTGTCTCTGAGCCTCTCTGTGCTCAAGGCTAGCGCTCTACCACTTGTGCCACAGGGCCAATACCAGCTCTTTCTGTTTATGTGGTACTGAGGAATTGAACCCAGGGCTTCATGCATGCTAAGCAAGCATTTTTCTACTAAGCCACATTCCCAGCCCCGATACCCTTGTGCTTTTTTTTGGTTGTAGGCTTGAACTCTGGGCCTGGGTGCTGTCCTTGAATTGAAGAGCTCTCTATGAGCACTCTGCCACTGGAGCCACAGCACCACTTCCAGTTTTCTGGTGGTTAATTGGAGATAAGAGTCTCACGGATGGGGCTGGGAAGGTGGCTCAGTGGTAGAGCGCTTACCTTGCATGCCTGAGGCCCTGGGTTTGATTCCTCAGCCCCACATAAGCCAAAAAGAAAAAAGCCAAAGTGGTGCTGTGGCTCAAATGGTAGAGCACTAGCCTTGAGCTAAAGAGCTGAGGGACAGCG